GTACCCAATGGAGAACCGTTTTTCCAGGACCAAAACCGAGAGAGAGAGAGAGAGAGAGAGAGAGAGAGAGAGAGAGAGAGAGAGAGAGAGAGAGAGAGAGAGAGAGAGAGAGAGAGAAGGGGAATACACTTGTGGAGTGGGGTAGGTGGTCCCAATCTTTTTGTTTTTATTTTTAATTAATAAAGCATTAAAAATAATATGAAGAATTACAAAAAAGAAATGAAAGGGGCAAAATTGCCCTTTCAACTTTTTCCAGGACCAAAACTACGAAAAAATCTTGATTTTGGACTTTACATGCAAGACAAAAACTTTTTGAACCCTATCCATTGTTTTTCTGAAACCACAATGACCAATTTTGCAGTTTAGTCTTTGTTTAAATTTAATCCGTGTGTAAAAACAATTAAAATTTCTCTTACTCTACCTAAGTTAAGCTCCACAAATCCAATTTAAATTAACCATCATCAACACACAATAAGGGTGACAATTCTCGACCCAACTCGTAACCCGACACTGACCCAACCCAAAAATAAACAAGTTTGGGTTGAGATTTTGACCCGCTAGCCCGCTAACCCGTTTATTTCATGGGTTGGGTTGGGTTAGCTGTTTGGGTTCGCGGATCAACCCGCCAACCCATATATATATATATATATATATATATATATATATATATATTATATATATATATATATATATATATATATATATATATATACTTCATTTAAAAAAATAGATATATTTAATTATTAATGAAATCTGATTTCCTTCCGTATTCGTAGTATTTTGTACCATTTTATTCTTTTCGTATTCGTATGTGACTAGTTTGCGTTTACGTGCCCTAATCAAAAAAGAAAAAACACATGTTGTCATTTTTAGATACCCACGAGTCACGAACGAAGAATGCATCCACTTTGTATGAATGTTTTCATTTTTCAGTTTTATTTGGATGATAATGACTTTATGAATTTATGTTGAAAACATCCTTTTTTTATGTTAATTACGTTAATCAATTTAGGACTTTATGTTGAAAAAACCTCATTTTTGAAAATGCGTTATTTATTTAACGGGTTATATGGGTTGGATTCGACTCACTAACTTGTGAACCTGTGAACCCATATACTTAAACGTGTTATATGGGTTGGGTTGAGGTTTCCAACTCGTGACCCGCCAACCCGCCAACCCATATATTATATGGGTTGGGTTGAGTTTATGTTTTTTGACCCACCAACCCGCCAATCCGAACCCAACCCGATTGTCAGGCCTAGCACACAATGTAAAATGCAAGGTTACATTTGTTTTCTAAATTATTCATGTTACATGTTTATCAATTGATAGTGATTGGTTGAATTTTTTTAAAAAACATAGTTGAATTTCAGATATTTAAATCCGTATATGAAACTTTGGATATCCGAAATTTAGATTTCTAAAGTTTCGAATACGAATTCGGATATGAAAATCGACTATCCGAAATTTTAGATATCCGGTTTTGAACACTCTAGGGAAAATAACTTATAAGGGCAATCAATTATTAATTTTGTTTATATCTAGTTATTTTTTGTATACCAATTACAGTTGATTTTTGAATTTTATTTAAGATATACCCATATGAACGGTTGTAGTAGGTTAATGCACAATTGATATATACATGATATCTATCAATGTGACATGAAATTGAAAAAATAACTTAACCGAATAACCAAATTGTTCATATTTAATTATTTTTTATACATTATTAACCATTAAATTCTCATTTGTATTCAAATTACATCATACGAAATTATTTAGATTATCACTAATACTTGTTGAAATGGAGTTTGGTTCTTTAGGTTTGGAATATGACTAACCTAATTTTCATGTGAAATTTTGGATTTCTAATTGGATTGAGGTATAATGTGAGAAGATGATTTTGTTCATTTTAGGACATCCTCCTTAAAGTGAATTTTTAGGTTTTAATATTATTCATTGTCTATCATGTTGACATATAGGAAGGCACATCGGCACCTAACCACAAGCTCTATTTCAACGATTCAACAAATCCTCACCGTTGCGACGTCGTTTACCATCAACAATGGCGTCCTCAATGCAAGCTCTCAACGTTAGACCCTTTAGATTCAACTCTACATCCGTTGTTCCTCAACGCCAGCCACGGCCGGTGATTATCCGGTGTTCCGCCGCCTCATCCACCGCCAAAAGCTACAACATCACTCTGCTTCCTGGCGATGGAATCGGCCCCGAAGTCATCTCCGTCGCCAAGAACGTTCTTAATCTTGCTGGCTCAATCGAAGGTATGACAAATATACATATTAGTAGTTTGGAGTTAACGATTCGATTGTTATTAGAATGTATGTTTATGTTATAGCGTATGTATGATTTTCGTTAGGGATTGAATTTAAGTTCAACGAGAAACTTATGGGAGGCGCTGCCTTGGATGCGACCGGAGTTCCATTACCGGAGGAAACACTCACGGCTGCGAAGCAATCTGATGCCGTTCTTCTTGGTGCTATTGGCGGGTGAACATCTTTTCGTAAATTATACCTAATACTTTAATTTTGATTTTACTCAACACATTATACAAGAAAAACATAATTGGAGCCATATCCTTTCATTAAAGCTTCAGATTACCAAACATATTTTGTTAGAATTGGAGTTCTGGACACTCATCTTTATTCATTAAATGGATTGAAGGTATAAATGGGATAAAAACGAGAAACATTTGAAGCCTGAAACTGGATTACTTCAGCTTCGTGAAGGTCTTAAGGTTTTTGCAAATTTAAGGCCAGCATCTGTTCTACCTCAGGTAAGCCAATCATGAACATGAAGATACTTGATTATGTTTATTCATTCAATACTCATCCCTATACTGATGAGGGATTAAGGTGCTGTTTCTTTTTGACCTAATGAACTTAAGTTGGATACAATACAGCTCAATTCTTGCTTTACTCTTTATTCTCTTTACCACTTTCAGTTAGTGGATGCTTCAACTTTGAAGAAAGAGGTTGCTGAAGGTGTTGACTTGATGGTTGTAAGGGAACTTACAGGAGGTTAGTGTATAAATTGAAACTTTTTTATTTGTCTTTATGAGTGAAGAAATTTTCTTTTGCATATGCCTTACAAATGTTTTATTTTTTAAAGGTATCTACTTTGGAAAACCAAGAGGATTTGGAACTGATGAAAATGGAAATGAGATTGGCTTCAACACCGAGGTTTATGCAGCATATGAGGTTGAATTCTCTCTCACACAATTTCATATAAATAGTTTATATTTTTATATATATGCTAAAATTACCTTTCTGCCCTCCCAGATTGACCGAATTGCTCGTATTGCATTTGAAACTGCTCGAAAGCGTAGTGGCAAACTTTGTTCTGTTGACAAAGCAAATGTCCTCGAGGTTCCAATGCCCTTTAATATTCTTGTTCTTACTCTATTCCTATTCCATTATGAGAAGGGCGTTTACGTCTTTTGCAAATTGCAATTCAACAGGCGTCAATGTTGTGGAGGAAAAGGGTAATAGCAATAGCTGCAGAGTATCCTGATGTTGAACTCTCCCACATGTATGTAGACAATGCAGCCATGCAACTTGTCCGAAATCCAAAACAGGTTTTTTACGATTTTGCCCTTGTTCGTTTTTTTCTTCCATTTTTCCAAATGTGTAATTTATTATATCTCTATTTATTTGCAGTTTGACACAATAGTTACAAACAACATATTTGGTGATATTTTATCTGATGAAGCATCAATGATCACTGGAAGTATTGGGATGCTTCCTTCTGCTAGTCTTAGTTCATCGGTATTTTTATCAAATTTCTATATTTTCCAAGTATTTATATAATATTATTAATCATATTTATAAGTTTAGTAATTAGTTTAATATTATTTTATTTTTTTGTAGGGACCCGGACTATTTGAACCAATCCATGGTTCCGCACCTGATATTGCTGGACAGGTAGTTAATATTTGAAATTCTAGAATCTTTTTCTTTTTTAATAATTTAAAAAAATTGAATTTTTTTTTTGAGTAAATTACATGAATGGTCCCTATGGTTTGGGGTAATTTGCACGTTTGGTCCCTAACTTATTTTTTAAACTCGGAAGGTCCCTACAGTTTGTTTTTGTTGCGCTCTTGGTCCCTTTCTTACCTAAAAAGACTATTTTGCCCTTGATTTTTTAATTTATTTAAATAAACACACGCCCAACCTCACCTTACCTTACCTACCCCACCTTATTTAAAAAATCAAGGGCAAAATAGTCTTTTTAGGTAAAACAGGGACCAAGCGCGCAATAAAAACAAACTGTAGGGACCTTCCGAGTTAAAAAAAATAAGTTAGGGACCAAACATGCAAATTACCCCAAATCATAGGGACCAGTCGTGTAATTTACTATCTTTTTTTTTTTTTGGGATTTATTACTATGCAGGATAAAGCAAACCCCTTGGCGACCATTCTGAGTGCTGCAATGCTTTTGAAATACGGTCTTGGTGAAGTGGCGGCGGCTGAGCGGATTGAGCTGGCGGTGTTGGATGCTTTGAATCGGGGGTTTCGTACTGGTGACATTTACTCAGATGGGAATGTACGTATCTTTTTTCCTATTAAGACATTGTACTTTCAGTTCTTTTTTTTATTTAGAAATTATACTTTTAATTTTTTTTAAAAATACTCAAATTGATACATTGGATTCAGAAATTGGTTGGATGCAAGGAGATGGGGGAGGAAGTGTTAAAGTCGGTGGATACAAAGAAAGTTGTATCGGTTTAAAACGTGAGTTTTTTTTTAGAGGTTATTATTAATTTATTATCTCATTTTGAGATTAATCTCTTTTTTTTTTCGGCTCTTTTTATTGAAAATATGTAATGTGAAATTGTGGGAGTTTTAAAATCTCGAAAGCTTTTGGAGTTTATGAAGTGTTTAAATGAACGGAACAATTGGAGCAAAATTAAAAGTTGATTTATTGAAGAAACACAAATAGATACGATTTACAAACATAATTATCTATCAAAATATTATGATTCACATTTCATTGTGCATATCTCGGATATGAATGTTGAGTCTTCTAAGCCAAATCGAATGAAGCATCATATGGAAAACATCGTACCTCTTCGGAGGCAAATTAACAACAAAATGCTTTCGAACTTGAACGCCATTCTTTTGTAATCTTATATACTTCTTTTGTGGTATTGCCATTAAAATATCTTTCAATTGTGGGATGTTCTTTGTTGGTATATCAACAGAAAATTTATCCCAATTCAAAACATCGCTAAAGGGTTTTGCATAATCATCCTTGACAAGTACGGGAACACATCCCATGTAAAGAGCTTCCACCATTCTTGGGCTTGCAACTTCCCATCCACTAGCGCAAATGCAATACTTGCTCTTTCTCACCTATTAAGAAACTTGTATCAAACTCAATTGTAAAAATGTTATTGAGTTGTTGAGTCTGATTGTTTCTAGACCTAATAGTTGCTACAACGACCACACAATGAGACCAACTACCCTAATTGTGCGAACCACATAAATTAATAATAAACATCTCTAGTTTGTCTGGATAATCTCAATGTACCTGTAAACCTCAATTTAAAAGTAGTACCTGTTGATTGTAATCCTCACCTTTTGGGAGGTATTTTAGAATTTTGACGCCATCTTCGGTCTTATTCTCCCAATGCTTGAGAAGTACCTCACGAATGTAGCCATGGACGCCGCCGGAGAAAAACACCAAGATTGTTCGTTTCGAGGGGGGTGGCCCACCAAGTAAACCCTCCGTGGTCCCATGTGGGAGGTAGATTTCAGGGATCGAAACATCTCTAGAGAGTTTGAACCCTTCCGATGTATTTGCGTTACATAAAGCACGAATCGAGTTTTTGTACAAGTAAGGAACGGATTTCGATATTACAGGCCCCTATGAAAATAAAAAATAATAACATGGTATTAAATATTGGTTAGTTAAAGCACTCAAGTTATGACATTCAAGTTATAACATGATATGCATGTGATTAGACAAGATTTATATTTCTCTTTGATGAACAGCGGGAAATATTTAATCTCATTCAGTCAAATGCATGTCAAAAAACAGTTTAATGGTATATATGTTCTCATGCCCCTTATATGCCGTGCATTTGAGATGTGAACAATTGCTCAAAAGTCAAAGTGTACCCAATCATGGCACGCAAACATGAAATGGTCTGCTCCATGACTTCGGTTCCAGTAGGGGTGATTTTGGTTGATAACTTTGATGTAGTCTCGAACTGTGTTGTACATAGGATTCCAATCATGGGATCCTACTATGTACACATAATTGATAAGTGTTATGATACTAAACGGGAGGAAATAAACATGAGCTTTTTCAGGATCCCGTGTACGAAACCGACTGATTTCCATATCGTTGATGAAGATCCCCTCTAACCCTAGGATTCCGTAGCATGGTGCACTATGAAATATTGGAGGGTCTCCTTCTTCATAAACGAAAATTTTAAATCGCTTTTCCATTTCTAGGTAACTCCTACACAAATTTCGCAATTTATTAGTCTTTCAGGTATCCTTTGTGCAACATCACAAACGGAAATACATAACAAATAGAACAAAATTTGATAGTTTAATAACCTTTAAACTTTTGTTTGAAAAATAGTCTTTCGTTAAGAATTAAATCTGTTAACTATTTAAATCAATGATGGTATAATAAATACAAGACACGAAATAAAAATGACCAGGGACAGAACATGGCCATTATAATTAGGGGCTTAAAACAAAGATCCAGTTAAATAAGTTGTAGGTTAAATTAGTTTTTTTGGTTTTTTTATAGAAATTATATTAATTATTTTTAAAATAAGATTATTATTAAGTGGACATTTGTTTCACATAATATTTGCAAGAAATAAAAACCCTCAAATTTTCAAAATTAAAATTAAAAAAAAATATAAATATAGCATTCGTTTACAAAATGAAACGAAATACAACTTCATCATTCACCCTCTTTATGTTTTGATTACCGGTTAAAAAGACTTGAAATTCTAAAATTTGCATATGCCAAAACGTTATCTTAATTAGTTTTGCAAAGAGTGCTAGTAAATTTATCGATTCACACTTATGCTTTTAATAACTATAATGAGTTTTATAACATGTTGACAAAATATCGCAAGTTAAATATTTATCAATATTGAAAATGTCCATTTAAAAGATTAAACAACCTTAAAAAGAATAAAAAAATATCATGAATTAAAAATGTTTACCTTTTTATTGTTATATTCAACAAACCTATAAAATTTAAAATATTTCAAAAAGCGTATAACAATATGCATAACAATATGTATTAACACTATAAAATTTCATTACTTAAATTGAAAGAAAAAAAAAATATCGGTTAAGTAAAAAAGAAAATGCATTAATAATACCAATGCATTTGCCTCATCTAACCCCTTAAACTACCTACTAGCCCCAAAGCCCAAAGGGCTTAGAGGTTGTCGGGTTGACATTTACCTCTTTTGTTTGGAATTTTCTTTATTACTTTTTAACATTTTAATATTTTTTATATATTCAATTATTTTTAATAAAATGATTACATAAATTCTCTCGACTTTTTTAAATATTTGCAAGCACTTTCAAAATTTTCAAAAATTTATTTTTAATGACTTTTTAAACTTTTTATCCACTATCTAAATTAACCAAATGGAAACGTGGGTTGAGTTGGAGCTTAGGATGTTGAGGTGTGAGGAAGATATTAGATATGCCTTAGGTTTCACCATTAAGAATTACCACTTCTTTGTAACTCTTTTATTTTACCACACCTCATTTCACAACATTCATTTTCACAAGCAAAATCGATTCAAGCCGTCAAAAAGGTCGTGATAAATGTTCAAGCTGAGAGCATACGGTGTGGGTGTGTTGTTTCTCGTTATTGCCGACGTGAAGGGGGATAACGACGTCACAACGAGATGAACACCGACCCCCATCTCATTTATCCTTGTCATAGCGTTTCTCGTTGCCGTCTCTAGCCAATGAAACGAGCAAAAAATTGACCGTTACACTTCAAACTGTTTGAATGCGGTTAATTTAATAAAAAAAAACTTTAAAATTAATTATTCTTTTTCCTATATAAATACCTATGATATCTAAACAATTTTTTAAACACATAACTTCTCTCTTTCTCTCTATAATCTCAATTATCTTCAAAAAAATTATGGATCCTTTCGACTCGTTCGATGATTCCGATGACGATATATTCTTCAGGATGATGTATCAGTATTATACTAACGAGCTGCTACAACCAGACCCAGCCCCGCTACTAACAAGACGTGCGATGTTAAACAGAAATCGCGAGGAAGGACATGAGCATCTATATCGCGATTACTTTGCGGATAATTGTGTATACGGGTCGAAGGACTTCAAAAGAAGATTTCGTTTGAGTAGGAATGTGTTCCTACGGATCGCCAACGCCTTGGAAAGTCGGTATCGCTTATTTACTATACTTTTATACAAAAAAAAAAATCTAGTACATGTTTCTTTAATTTTACTACATATGCAATATATTTTTAAACTGTAGTTAATTTATGTTTGGGTATGAATTTTTCCAATTGAGATATGATGCTAGAGGTAGACGAGGGTTTACAACGTTGCAGAAATGTGCTGCGGCCATTCGTTTGATGGCTATAGGGGAGTCACCCGACACCATGGACGACCATATGAGAATGTCCGAAAGAACCGCAAGGGAGACTTTGTAAACATTGTCAAGGGGTGTTGTTGAAACATTTGGAGACGTGTATTTGCGGAAACCGTCGTTGCATGATTTGCAAGAATTGTATGCGGCGTATGAAGAACGCCATGGGTTTCCCGGAATGATCGGAAGCATTGATTGCACACACTGGAAATGGAAAAATTGTCCGGTAGCATGGAAAGGGCAATATGCAAGTGGTCATCACGGATCGCCTTCGTTAGTTTTAGAGACTGTTGCTTCAAGATTTATGGATTTGGCATGCATTTTTTGGGGTTGCGGGTTCCAACAACGACGTCAACGTTCTTGATCAGTCGCCAATATTCGACGATCTTTTGAATGGAAAGGCCGCGGATGCTCCTTTCACGGTGAATGGAAACGAATACAAATATGGGTATTACCTTACAAATGGAATATATCCTTAGTATTCCACATTCGTGAAGGCATTCCGCCACCCGGTTGAAGAACGAGACAATTCTTTTAAAAGAAGACAAGAAGGAGCACGTAAGGATGTGGAACGTGCTTTTGGAGTGCTGAAGGCGAAATGACATAGTTGAACATGCAGCACGACCATTGGATTTAGAAACTCTACGATATATCATGTATGCATGTATCATAATGCATAACATGATAGTAGAAGATAAATGGCGAAATATTGCACACTATATCCCAACGGAGCCCAAACACGTTCAGTTTCAACCAGGAAATGTTGGATTAGTGTCTAAGTCCATAACTATTTTGGTATGTACTTGACCCGATTATGAGCATGATCCTTTTGGGTTGCCTTCACCATAGCAATATGTAGGATGAGTTAAGGAGAGAAATGTTTAATTATGATTTATTAATATATTATAAGAATAATATATTAAAGGAGAAATCATATTGTTTAATTAATATTAGTCAAGAATTAATAAAAAAATTAAGTCTGTGGCTAAAAGAGATTAATTAAACTTAGGGGACTGGAGTTGTAATTATAAGATAATTACAATTGGGCTATGGATCACCTAATAATATATAGGTTGGACGAATTCTATGGGAAGCCCATTAGAAATCGTCCAAGGGATATGTTAAAGGAGTCCATGGGCTACTTAGGGCTTAAGCAATCAGATTAGGGTTTCCTAGCTGTAAACCCTAATAGCCTACATGTATATAAAGGACCCCTATGCACCAAAAATGGGGCTAACACTTGGATTAGGGTTTCCATCCGTTTTTGGTGCCTCCCCTCTCCTTCCTCTTCATTCAAGTTGCTTAGTGGTGTTTGTGACTCCATTAGAGGTGCAACACTTGAGGCACTAAGCTTTCTGAAGCCAAGGATTGATTGTTATTGCTATATAACAATCAAAGGTAATTACTAAACCCTTATTTCAGTTCTTATATGATAGATCTAGGGTTTATAGCTTTGGATATTCAATTGCATGTTCATTAGACAAACTAGATCCAAAAGCTATTAGGGTTTGCATGTACACCATAGGAATGATGTATTGCTCGAAACCCATCAGTGGTATAAGAGCCTAGGTCGTTTTTCTATTGAATAGATGCATAATTGAATTGCAAAAGACATGAAAATCGAAATTTCTTGCTGTCTGCCTGATGAACTCGCCGAGTTGCTCTTAGAACTCGACGAGTAGCTTGAACTCGACGAGTTCCAAAGAGGACTCGACGAGTTGGCTGTTCAGTTGCCGGGTTTTTCGAATTTTTGGTCAGATTTTGATGTGGATAATTACCAAAACTCGTTTTTATTGCCTAAAATCGATTTTTTATGTTTGGAATGATTATCCTTATCAAAATTGATGGATTTGGTTAAATATGGATAATATAGGATTATTATAAGATAAATATTTGACCTAGTAAGTTTGAAAAGTTTCAGTTTTCACCATTTAGGTTTTATAGTTTAAATTTGAACTTAATAGTTTTGTTTTTGAAATTTAAATAGTTAAACCCTAATGTTTTGAAAAGTTTCAAAACTTGTCCTCAAGTTTTGGAATTTAAATTTTTGGATTAAAAGTTAATTTTGAAAGATTTAAATTCTAAACCCTAATGTTTTGAAAAGTTCAAAAACTTGCCCTCAAGTTTTGGAATTTATAATTTGATTAAAAGTTATTTTTGAAATAGTAAATTCTAAAACCCTCGTATTTTGAAAAAATTTCAAATTACACCCTTATGGTTTTGTTAATTAATTAAAGTGTATAATTAAATGAGAGTTAATAAATCCATAAAGTTGTTGGTTTACATTTAATTAAATTAAAAGTATAATTAATTAAATTAGACCACCTAGTATTTTAAAAGTTTAAAATACACCCTATACTATGTATATATGACATTAAAAGTCTAATATTATATATGTATGAGTAAACGGTCAGTCTTACCGTTAGTAGGCCTCATTCACGAAGCTGGTCTATAAGGGGTGTTTAAGGAAATTGCCTATAAAATGGCGATTGAATGGGTATCCACTCTTACCCACCACACTCTTGACTAGTGGAGGGTCGTTAGCCGAACGGGTAGGATAGGACGAAACCTTCCATTATAAGTATAATGAAGTACAAAGTAGCTAAATGCTTTTACAAATTCCCAAATCATAGTTACTTTAGGCAAAATGTGAAATTGTATGCTAATCCATGGAATTACAGGTTCGTACCCTTTTCAAACGTTAGTGGAGCATGTGTGGTTAATCGGCACACTAATTTGGGGTTGACATTGGTAGTGAAGGGTGGCTCGATGTTTATCATAGATCAATGGAGAGTGTGTGGTTAACCGACACATTGATTAGGTGATAGTATCATTGAGTGCATCACGTA